ATTATAATGAATAAAATTCTAAAATTTCAAGTACAATTAATTAAAATTCTTTAAATATAAAATCAAATATAAATTGTCCAAATAAATAAAAATCAATTCAACATAAATAACTAAATCAACAAACTTGTTAATGATGGGTTGGGTTAATTTTTATAGGTTAGGTTGGATAAAATTGAGTTAAATTTAATTTTTATTGGATTGGATTTGAGTTTGAATATTGAATTAAATTTAAAATAAAATTAATTTATATAATTCTGTAATTTTTGCGGGGATAGAGATCCTCACGGGGCCCCGTGGAGGGGAGGAAAGGGAAATTCTCCGCAAAATTTTGCGGGGGAAAATGCCCCCCATCCCCACCTCGCGGGAAGGAATATTTCTCGATGGGGATCCCCACGGGACCGCGCGGGGATCAAGGCAAATTGTTATTCCTAACAAGAAACATTATCATTTACTTCATATGTAAGGCTACGTGATACATTTTTAATAAGTTTATTATATTAATACTAATAACATGAATTTTTTTTAATACATAAACAATGCTCCGAAATCTTCAATGAAATATGAAGCAACTTCTTCAACAACAAGAAGTAAAGCCAATGACGGTGATAGTCTCCTTCAAATAGAAGTAAGAAGTCTAAAGTTAAAGTTATATAAGTGGAGTTCCTTTTTAAAAGGAGGACATGGTTTGCCTCCTACTGTACAATGTAAGATAGTAAAATGATATCAAATAACAAAATTTTCATTCAATGTTTTATTCTATTTGTAGCTATGCATTACTTTTAGATACATAACAATTAAATCGCACAATACAATTTTTAAGATATTAATCATAAATACATTCAATTCTAACTGGTGCTGCTGAATCACTTGTTGATGATTAGTATTGATATTCATTTTCTAAGGTAAACATGGCCTATATTGGTTAAACTTTTTGGGCAAAAAGAGATTAAATGAACTTGAATAAAAAATGTGCATATATTAAAAGTTGAGGCACTAAAAAAATGTATCTTTAAATAAACTTAACATACTAACTGATATAATTAAAAAAAATGCAATTAAGGGACAAAAAAATGTAAACAAATTGTTAAAAGATGAAAATTATGCAAAATCCTAAAGTTAAAGGACCAAAATTGCAATTTAACCAATAAACAAATGTAAGCACAAAGAACTGAACATATAAATTTATCTTCTTATAAAGGCCCAAGATATAATTTTCTCTAATATTGACCCAAATTTACACAAAAATCCACAATAAATTAATTATTTAATATTACATTCTTTTTATGTATTATATTTTATTGTTTGTTGCTAACAATAATTTTTTTCTTTCTCTAAATCACAAATACTTGCCAATAAGCAACAAATGAGTTGGAAAATACTAGGAGCATAACTTTCTCTAATAATTAGGTTGGTTTATAGTCTTAGGTTAAAATTGTCACTTTTTTTTTTTTTTAAAGTTCAGGGTGTTAATTTTATGTTTTTAACTGTGTTTGAAAGCATTATCAAGTTTGCTAGGATTAAAAGGAGAATTTAAATAAAGTTAAGTTCTATTATTACCAAAGCATCTTAAAACCTTTAGATTTATCTACTTTAGCACTTCAAAACTTGAGGTCAAGTTTTCTCCAACAAGAGGATGATGACTACAAGAAGTTGTTGAATAGTTATTTAGATTATTTAGGATTCCTATTTAATTATTATTATTAAGTGTTATTTTAGATTATTGATAGTTTTTTAGTTTTATTAGAATTAGATATTTTATTTAAGTCTAATTTAAGAATCTAAGTTGGACTAGGACTTCCATTTCTTGTTAATTTAAGAATATTAAGATTATAAATAGACTTGTTACTTCTTTCATTTTTCAGTTAAGTCAACTGAATATTCAAAAATTTGTAGTGTGATGCAATCTTAATTGTGTGATATGACCAACCTTAAGTGTAATGCGTAATCTGAATGTGACCTCTAGGATTTTTTATCTTTCTCATTATTTTCTATTTTCCCTCTCTTCTAAACTATATTCTTAATCTCTTTTCATGTTCACGTGCATTATTCATAGCCTCTTCTTACCTTCAAACAACCTTAAATTCCTAAATCCACCAACTTTCCAACCTTTCCTGCATCAAAAATGTTCAGAGCAGAATCATAACCCGTAATGATTATACACATCAAGTTTCTTAAAAAAGTGACATGAACAACTACATAAGAATTTAGTTTCAAGAATAAGCTGAGGTTCTTTCACTAGTTCTCTTGCATACTGCCCATAGTCTAGTTATATAGAAAAAGTTACAATGAAGTTGAAACTTTCAACTTGACAAAAGGGTACTGACCTTGAAGCCGTATCACACTCTCAAAAAGCAAGAATACTAATTATGCATGTACATATGAACAAATGTTGTACTTCTTTTGTATGAATGCACGGATGTATGAATGAATGAATGAATGAATGAATAATGAAGATAAAAAGGAATGAATGTACCTATGAATAAATGAATGAATGAAGTTAAAGAAAACAATCTTCTTAGCTTTTCTGAGAATTTGATATGCTCTCAAGTCTCGATATAAAGACGTGGGGAAGCCTCACCTAGGACAAGCTGCTAGATTCTTCCAATTCCATAGAAAGAAAAATGCGAATATGTCTCAAAAAAATTAAAACATACACAATGTGGAGTAGGTGATAACTATTTAATAGCTTTTTCTTATTCCTCATTAGTAGGTTTCTATCAAACATGATATAGAAAGCACCATAAGCAAAAGTGATGCTTGCCATATGGTACGTAATAATAAAGAGACAAGGACAGTTATCACAAGAAATAAGAGTGGGTAAAGACTAAAAGCCCAAACAAATAACAAGTTATTCACACTGGCAACAAAACTCTGATCATGGTGCATGCTTTAACAGATGATGAAAATTACCAAAGATCACTAGGCCAAAAGCAGCAGCTTGATGTGGAGGACAATATGCAAACTCCAAATGTCCATACATAATGAAAAGGTTAGCCAATGTATAAACAAGCTTAATTTACCAAAATGAAACTGAATTTGAATTTAGAAAATACCTACTTGGACTTCAATGTAACATATGTGACCATGCAATCTTTTATACAGGTCAGCCTTCAGTGTCAATACTGTTGAGTAGACCATTCCTTAACTAGTTTGTTTAACCCAGTCAACAATCAGGTAACATGTTTTGATTGTTGATACATATAAATTCTCACTACCCAACTGCTCTTCTCACCAAAAATGATTGACTCATAACCTCCCCATCATATAAATTCTCCCCCTTTTTAGAAAATTGAATATGATTCAGAAGAATCTAGGGCAATAAACGAAGAAATAGGAAAAAAATGAAAATGGATAGCAATAAAAAGAGATTAAAGAGGGAATTCAAAGAGAAAATGAAAGAAAAAAAAATGTACATAGAGTAAAGAGAAGTATGTTTGAAGGGTACATGATCTGACTTGAAGGGTATATATGTTCTTCACCATGTAATTCCAGTATATTCTCATGTTTTACTAGATAGATAAACGAGAAATCATTCAAGAGAAACACATACATCAAACAATCAACAGGAAAAAAAAGGGTTTAGTAATGTAGATGAGTAAAAAAAAGGGTTAAAAGGAAATAATAATCCAATGTTCCAATTTTGCCTTCACTTGCATTTTGCAGAAAGTTCCATCTCTTCTTTGATCTCTTTCAGTCTCTTTTTCTTGTCGTCCACCTTCTAATTTTATAGTTCCCATCATTAGACAAAAAGATAGAGTCCACAAAGAAATCAAAAAGGAAAGCAACACCAAATATTTAGGGAAAAAAGTTGGTTCCAATTTCAGAGTTAGTAAGTTATGGCAGCATATAGAAAAAGGATATACAACAGCAGCCAAGTTTAGGTTTAGTTTAAGCTAATTGAAGGGTATGGGTATAGTGATGGGAATCAAGATAACCCCACATGTACTGTCACGATCTTGCCGATCTCCCCACCTCATCAAATTTTGCTGATCGTGACTTAGGTAGCATCAAGATGAAGATTCCTCCATTTTAAGGCAAAAATGATCCAGATGTGTATTTGGAGTGGGAAAATAAGGTGGAATTGGTGTTTGATTGCCATAACTATTCTGAGGAAAACATGAGGAAAACAAGGTGAAACTAGCAGTGGTGGAATTTACTGATTACGCTGTGGTGTGGTGGTATCAGCTTGTCCTTAGTCGATGTAGAAATCGAGAGCATCTTGTTGACACTTGAGAAGAGATGAAAGCTGTGATGAGAAAACGATTTGTTCCTAGTCACTACTACCGTGATCTTTATCAATGATTGCAGGGCCTTACTCAAGGGTCCAAAAGCGTTGAGGATTATCACAAAGAGATGGAAATCGCAATGGTTAGAACGAATGTGGAAGAGGATAGAGAAGCAACTATGGCACGGTTTCTGCATGGTTTAAATCATGATAGCTAATGTGGTAGAGCTGCAGCATTATGTGGAATTAGAAGATATGATGGGCATCATCGTTGAATGCACCTTCATAATTGTCATTGAGATCATTATTAGCGTCCTTCCTACGCAAATTCGGAACTTCCCTGTATTTGGTATAAATTGGCTATAGCTGCATCTTGCTTCTCCATTTTGTCTCTAATCTCACCAAACATGATATCCAGCCTTTGAAATTGTTGTTGCATTGCTTTGAGCATGAGAGGTTCATCCACATGGTGTCTTCTAGTGGTTGATTTGTCATCACCGCTTGACATGATTGAAACCTGCAACAAATGTTAGAAACAAAAGAATAAAAGGACCTCACAACACTCCCTTACGTGTTTCACTCCACTCTCTCACATAATGGCACTCAACACTCATGTTTTGCACACTGTAGAACTTGGCTTTTCTCTCAAGTGTTGCTCACACCTCTTGCCTTTTTCCCTTTCTTGGATTTCATCTCTTCCCTCACTATAGCCCATGGATTAAATTTCATTAGTAACGATGATCTTATTCTAAGCAAGGTGAGAACATATAAATAAACCAAATCAATTAGACTTTCTAAGCAATCCAATCAAAACTGGGACAAATACAAATTGACAAATTACATATTCTAGAAAGAAACGATTAATAAGTCTAAGATTTTAATTCTTTGCCCTAAGAAGATCAAAATTCAAAAGGAAAAAAGGCAATTAAAATTCCATGAATTTTAGATTGATAATTATCCACAACTCCATAGAATGACTTTGAGCATATATAATGAACTTAAAAGAAAATGTAAAAAGCAGTTCAGGACAAAAATATCAAGACACTTAATGGAGACTCAATTGCTTGCTATATAGTTCTACAAATAGCTCAATTGCCATTTTGAATCAATTGTAGGCAAATTTAGAACATGCTTTATCACCCATTTCACATACATATCTTATGAGATTTTGGAACCTACTTTTATACCAAGACAATATCAGCATAAAAGAAAAATGACATTATATTAAAGAGGCAAGTAGTTTTTAGAATGAATTAACATGATAAATGAAAATAGGAAAAAAAGACAGGGATGATTCTTTGTGCAGCCATAAGTTTCCATTAAAATAATACCAACTTTTTCGAAGGTTGTTGGGATATATGGGAAGTTAAAAAAAAAAAAAAAAAACTGGGAAGTGATTAATTAAGCATGTAAGAGTATTTTAAGCACCTTTTCATGGGGTGGTTTGGAAGCAGATTGATCCTGTGATGTTCCTGTTCTTGAGGCATCACTTGCCATATCCAACTGTTGTTGGCGACAGCTACTAGAGGTGTTGGTGGTGATCTAAAGAAGAAGATGTTCTTTTACTAATGGGGGAACGGAAAGTGCACCTGGAAACTGAAAATAAGAGAGCAAAAGAAATGATGACCCCATCTGAAATGAAACAAAGCAGCCCTCACCAGTTTCTCTCCTTTTCGTTCTAGCTCGAGTCTTTGGTGGTTGATGCTTAGGACTCATTCGAGACGAACACGGGGTAGATAAGAATCTGTCAATACCATTTACCTTATAAACATACATATATAACACAGTGATCAAAAGAGCAAATCAAGATGATTTCATTATAATATTAGAATATTCAATATAAAATGCAAAATTTACTATCTTTTTCTCCCTGTAAGCAAAGTCTGAAGATTTGGCAAAGTCCTAAAACTTCGTAAACAAACAGAAGTAAAGGTTGTCATTAATAATTCAAGATAGAAAAAGAGATGAAGTTAACCCAAAAAGAATAAGGTAATTCATACCAGATTACAGAAAAGACAAAAAAATAACAAAAAAAAAAAAGTTGTATCATAACCCACTGGTAAAAGACAAATAATGAGTTTAACCACATGCTCAATATTTTGCTATTGACATCTCACGTTAAGAAACATCTTTTAAAAAATTGCTCTATCTTTTCATCATAGTTCTCCATGAAAATTCGGAATTAAAGAACAGAATATATCAAAGTGGCCAAAAAGGCC